TCAAAGTAAATCGAACTTTAATTTGTTCAGAATATTGCTAATAAAAATTGAAACTAAATTAAAGCCAAATAACTAACCTCTTCTCCTCTCCGACGTGTGCCTTGTTACATTGTCATCCATGTGGTCATAATTGTGGAACTAACTTGCATCATTGCATTTGGAGCAAAATATTATTTTAAAAATATAATTAATTGTAGTCATGCAAGAAAGATGGACACAATTAAGGAAGATGGGTGATGACTTCCAAATTTCGAAACCATTTTATTATAATAATAATAATAACATTAATTATTAAAAAAAGCCTGTAAATTATATAAGTTGATCTCCTATTAGAGAGGTGTCATGACTCGAACCCACCCCTATGGGTTAAGGACATAACCGGCCAGTAATCAAGGAATTACCTACGGCCTCAAACCAAACAAGACATAACTCATCAGAGTAAAGGGGCCAAACGGAAGTAAATTCAAACTTTTGTCCATAGAGCTGTGCTTACATGGCACATCATAACAATCCATGCACATACATGTTAATAACTCACATAAGGATATGTAGTAACACAAGGTTTTGTACATACAGGATCATTCAAGTCTAAGTTAGCCAGTCAAAACTATATACAATCGTAAACCAAAGTTCTCGCCAACATGACAAAATATAGCAACTAGCAAAATGACGAAAACAAGTCTCGTTAGTGAGACGTGTGGGCTAACTCTTCAAAACCTTGACTGCTTCTCACAAACTTCACTGAGACTGGGTTTGGACCTCCCTTGGCTCACCTACAGACACATGAATGAGCGTGAGCGAAAGCCCAGTGAATAATATTAAATAAAGAAGATACACGAACAGTATTTAGAATGACATGCACTAAACGGCCTTGGGCCCAATTCATATTTCTACCTAGCATATATATATCAAGTAGTTGCGGTTTCAAACACATCAGACGGCCTCGGGCCCAATCCATTCATGTCAAATGGCCTTTGGTCCATTTATCTTTCATTCACGTCAGACTGGCCTTTGGCCCATTCTTTCTTTCTTTCATGTCAAACTGGCCTCTGGCCCATTCATTCTTTCATTCATGTCAGACTGGCCTTTGGCCCATTTATCTTTCATTTGTGTCAGACTGGCCTTTGGCCCATTTATTCTATCTTTCATGTCAGACTGGCCTCTGGCCCATTCATTCTTTCATTCATGTCAGACTGGCCTTTGGCCCATTCATTCTATCTTTCATGTCAGACTGGCCTCTGGCCCATTCATTCTTTCGTTCATGTCAGACTAGCCTTTGGCCCATTTATCTTTCATTCATGTCAGACTAGCCTTTAGCCCATTCATTCTATCTTTCATGTCAGACTGGCCTCTGACCCATTCATTTGGCATAGCAAACATTTGTCCACCATTCAAATTAACGAACTTATAAGACTTACATAGGAGTAAGCAATTGGACAAATAACATACTTCCGATATTTTTATTAAGACATTACTCACAGTGATCGGCTGGATGATTTGCCATGGAGCTCGACCCTACACATTCCATGAACACAATGGGTCACAAACAATTCAATCCGTCCTTAATTCACATATTCCTCTTTAGGCTTCATTCTTATCATTTTAACTCATTTACAATGCTTAATGCATGCCTAAGAGTACTTAGAAGTGAAAGAAAACGAAAAATGGAACACAGAACACATTTACAAAATTTCAGAAACAAGGGTCCCCGCTCGAGCCGGACCCATGAGGCCTGCAAAAGTACTGGCTATGTCAAATTTATGCTCAAGCGTGAAGTTGGGCACTCGAGTTGAAGGCCTCACTACATGGCTTCCCGCTCGAGCGTGAACTTCCCTGCTCGCGCGGACATCATGTCTGCAGAAAATACTGGGAGCTCGTATTTTACGCTCGAGCGGCGGTTCTCCCGCTTGAGCGGACATCAAAATTTCTAGATTTTCCAGAATGGTTCTTGAGCTCAAATTCAACATTCAAACCAACATTTCTTGCATATTATGGCTCAAACTCCACATAAACATGTACTAACCTGGTACAAGCACCAAATTACAACACAATGAAGCTCAATTTCACAAATTAATCACATGCATGTCCCAACTTACATCAAGCTCATTTCCAACATAACAAATTCATGCATTCAAACTCATATTCTCATGAATTGTACATGCATGTGATATATAGCCCTCATATGCATTCCATGACTTCAAACTCATCAAATACAACACAATTTTTGTTCTTGATCACCATACAACTTTGAATTCACAAAATTACAATATTAAACTCATGAATTCGTAACCAATTACTCACCTAAAAGCTCTAATCTTCCAAGCATATGTTTAATTCTTGAGTTGGTCTTCAAATTATTCAAGCTTCAAGATCAAAACTTCAATTGTTTCCCTCTCTCCCTCTCTAGCCGACCCTCTCTCTCTCTTCTTAGAGTTAATATCAGCCAAATTGAATAAAAGAGAGGAATTGAGTGAAAGTGGCCCATTTATAAGCTCCTACTCAAACACATTATTTTATTACTAATTAACTGAGCACTATTTCATCAATTTAATCTATTTAATTCGATCCAAATCAATTTTCAATTAAATTTCATCGTAAGTTCTAAAAATTACGCTAATTACAATGGCGTAATCAATTTCAGTTTCTGCGGCCGATAAGGTCTTCAATTTTCAGTTTATAACAATAAGTTGAACAGATATTCCTACGATGAATAGATAGAAATTCAAAACCACATATATTCATATCAAACACATAATCACATATGCAATTAAGATTAATTAGCATAATACGGAGCAGGGTTATCACAAGAGGTATATTTTCATCGTACAGTTTGATGAATCATAAACCTAAACTATGATAAAAACTTCAAACCTAAACTATCCTAACCTAAACAATTCACTTTTTCCTTCTTTTCTCGATATGTGATTATTAAATAAAAGTTAGGCAATGGAGATTTTCTTAATTGTTTACAATTAAGAAAATTAAGAAAATTAGTATGAGATATTAAAACTCTCACATGGCTCCTTATTAAATGAGATGGGAGTATAAAATTATCTTTATATGAGCAAAACAACTAATTTTTGTCATTCATTTCCTGATTTAAGATTATCAAATAAAAATAATCATTTAAAATTAAGAAAAACAAGAAAATTAAAATGAGAATTTAAGGTAGCGTTTGGTAAAATTTTCTAAATATGATAGAGCTGTATTTTGAGTTTGTGAGTTTTAGAATTATGATTTGAGTGTGAAAAATTTGTTTGGTGAAAGAGTTTTGAATTGAGTGGAGAATTATTGATGTGACATATGATATTTGATACAAAAACTTACAATTCATAACCAAACACACAATTCAAAATTCTATTCAAAACTTATAAAAAATTAAAAAAAACTTAAATTTTTCTTATTTAAAATATAAAAAATAACAAGTGCCAATTGTAAAAAAATAAAAAATAAATAAAAAGTAGCACTGTTCCGGTCAATCAGCCAAATTTTTCTGTCTTAGAAAGAATTTTCAAAAGTGAATGTGAAATTAATTTTTAAAAACTCTACACAAATAAAACACTTAAAATAAAGAGTAAAAATATATTTGAAGAAGCTAACCAAACACAACTTAAAACTCCTAAAAAACTTCTTGCTAAAAAAATCCCTTTTCCTTGTATACACGACTTGTGAATCCAATAGGCCTAATAGCACTTCCCCGGTCCATCCAAGGAAGCACAATCCTATCTTTTTTTCTTTTTCTGTTTTTTTTTTTTTGAAAAAAATCCTCCCTACCCTCCCGCAGGTCTAAGGCAGCGCCGGACTCTTTGGTTCAGACTTAGAACCGTGACAAATTTGAGAGTCCTGAGCTGTAGTGACCCCAATATGAACGGAACGGGAGCTCGTTCCTTCCGGGGCGTTCGGGGACGTCTACAGGTGGCTCTTGTCTCTAGTATATGTTCCAGGTCGGCTCATTGAGTCTACTTGAGTTTTTTTTGATAATTTATATTATTCATATTTTAAAGATTTATTAAGGCTCTGTTTGGTACGGAGGTTTGGAGCTATTTTAGCTATAAAAGACAAAATAGGTTATTTTAGCCACAACAAACAAAACATCATATCTAACCCATAATTATTACATTATTCTCTCACAAAAAAGTCAAAAAAACCAAAAAGCCAGAAAACCCTTCCCAAAGTAAGCTTTTTAGCCCAGGCTAAAATAGCAAAAAAAGTCAAAAAGCCAAAAAGCCAACCAACTTCCCAAACGGAGGCTAAGTATATTATTCCTGTAAAAAATTAAGTCGATCAAATAACGAATATTATGTATTTGAATCACTTTTTTATGAACCGTTAATTTTCTGATCGTTCATTTTTTTTCAAACAAAAATGATCCGAATGCATAATAACCGTTATCCGATCGATGCGATTTTTATAAAAATAATATATTCAACAAATCTTAAAATATGAATACTTTTATTTATTTAAAAAATTTAAAAATAAGCTCAATAAATCGAATTGAACCGGATTATTCTTGACTAGAGATAGCCCCGATCCAAAGCTTAAAAATGTCACTTTCGTTCACCAGTTCTTAACATGGGAGTTGGGATTGTTGTTGGGTAGTCCGCGCAGCAGTAATTATTGTATGATGAAATGGATTCATTTTGGGGTTCATTTTGATAATCTGAACCGTCGACATTTTAAAATACATCAAATAGAACATACTTGTAAAGAATTAGGTTAATCGGATATCATTTACCCATTCATCTACTCACATTTGTATTTAAAAAATAAATAATAATTGTGATTTAAATTATTAAAATGAATATAAATTTGAATAGATGAATAAACAAACGATATCCGATTAATTTAATTTTTTACAAATATATTTTACTTAATATATTCTAAAATATAAACGATTCAGATTATCAAAATAGACATCAAAATATGCCCATTCGACGCATAACACTTGCTGCTGCGCGGGCTGCGCAGCAGCAGCAACCCCAATTCCCTTAATCTGGACGTCTTTCAGAGAACCACTGGATAAAGATAGATATAGCCATTTAGCCCTCTCTCTTTCTCTGTCCGTGAAACATCGCAATCTATTCGCAGGGAAAAAAAGAAAAAAACAAAGAAAAATTTGTTTGTCTTCACTTTCTTCATTGAATTATGTTTAATCTCTGATTCAAGCGATTCCAGATCGAGATCGGAGGACTCGATCAATTCCATTCAAAGGTCTGTTTTTAAAATTAAAAAAAAATTAAAAATTCCATTACTTCTCCACCGGTATTCATCAACACACACACACACACACGCATATATATATATATATATAATGTAAAGTTGAGCCATTTTTGACCTGTTTGTGAAATTCTAGGGTTTATTTGCTTGATCTCTCTGTACCCTTGTTTGTTTTGCGAAAGCTGAACCCTTTTCATCTATACATGCTATTATCGATCTTTTATCTGCCGATGTTTCACTGTTTTTGTGGGGTTTTTAGTAATTGGTTTTATTCTGAATCAGTGTTATCGCGTTAGCAAAAATTGTTGATTGGCATGGAAATTAATTATTTTGTTGTTACGGTTTGTGATTGTCCCTCTAACTTTTAGCCCTAGGGCTGGACTAATTTAGGTTTTTGCTTGTCTGCACATGTTTGGAGTTGGAGCTCTGTTTGATCTTTGTGTCTCTTTAATGAAATTTGGTTTGTGTGAGCAACACAATATATATAGATATACTAGCCTAATAATCAATTGTTGTAGCAGCCTAACTGAGTAAGTAGAAAAGTAAATGCATTTGTGTCAAGCTTTAATCGTAACCTTGTAAGTTTTTCAGTAGTCGTCGCAGCGATAAAATTGTTTTTCTTGTTTGACAAGGGACCAACCTTACCTTCTTTTTATTTACAGTATTTATTTTATTAGGACCCATAGCTTTGTACATAGGGTAAGGGAGACGGGGATGGTGTATCTTTTTGCAGCTGGGATGAGTCACTTCCAATCTAATCTTTGGCTAATGTTGAGCCTCAGAATTGGTTATAGTCTATAGGACCAAGTATCAATCTTGTCACTACATGATTGCTGGGTGCTGAAGATGTTTCAAGATGAATGCAGTTAGTCTTTCTGATATTGAATGTAGTATTGGCTCGGTTCCCTCAACATAGGAAGGCCTCTTGTGGCAAAGACTGTTCCAGATCCCACAGTTGAACGATGCCTGCCTTTTAACTGTCAAAATGGCAGAGTCAATCAATATTGATATGAAAAACTCTTATGCCTCCACAATTGGGCGTCAGACAGGGGATAACTCTCTCTTTCTTCTCTCCATCTCTCTTGATTATACAATCGTGGAGCCTTGTGTGCTTTGGGTCTTTGGTAGAGTTTTTTGTTTTTCTTTGTGTGTTGTGTGTGCATTGTTTCTTTCTCCTGCACCATCTTGGCAAATTGTTTGGGGGAATTGTTCATGTTGAAATTATTTTAACATTCATTTCTACTGTAGTAGTATACATCCCAATGCAATATGGCATCAAAGTGTTTGGAATGGATTGTTAATTTCTCCCATTGTTTATTTACTATTGTTCTCTGTTTCTCCATTATCATGTATAGGCCACAATTGTGTGGCACTACAACTGACCTGGCAATGTATCAAAGAATGGTATTCATGATTCTTTGCGCATGAAGCTTAGTTATTATTGTTATCCTTATTTTTGTCCCGATAGTTTTAGCTGTGAATTTTTATTTTGTTGGTTTTGGTAATTGTTGAATTAGCTGCTTAAATCATTGTTCAGGATTTAATAGTTGCGAAGACCATGTCTCATCAACAAGCAGAAGAGGCCGAATACATGGCAGATGAATATGAAATGGAAGATGTAGATGATGATATGGATGAAGAGTTCTGTGGAAGAGAGATGGGTGGCTCAGATTCTGATGTGGATGAATACGACTACTTGGTTTGTGATATAATTTCATATAGTTTGAACAATACTTTGTCATTGTTATAGACTAGACAATGGCAAATATTACTGTTTATTTGTTTTATTCCTCTCTTCTTGTTGGTGGTATGTTTTTCTATTTCTCAAGTAGTTTTTAGACATATATATATTTTCCCTGTCAAACTCAAGATATATCAAAGGCTAACTATTTGGTACGGATCTAGAATAATAAAATGGCAGACACTTCTGCTGCTCAAGCTAGGAGAGGCAAAGATATCCAAGGAATTCCCTGGGAGAGGCTTAATATTACAAGGGAGAAGTATAGGCAAACTAGGTTAGAACAGTACAAGAATTATGAGAACATTCCTCAATCGGGAGAGGGGTCAGAGAAAGTAAGCCATTTAAATGCTTTTTTTCTCAGCTCCTAATATTTAACCTTTGGGTGCCATGATGTCAGCATTAGCCCCTCATGTTTATATTGTGAATAGGAATGCAAAATCACAATGAAAGGGGGCATGCATTATGAGTTCAGACGTAATTCAAGATCTGTGAAGTCAACAATACTTCATTTTCAGGTTAGTTGGCATTTCTCTTTTCCCAATTTCGGTGTCATGCTGTCAGCTACATATTTTTATTCTAGTTTTCTGTCAATCTATAACACTCAGTCCCTTATTGGCACCTTTGAACTTTTCTTCTACAAGTGAAGAGGAAGCAAATTTTTTTTTTTTATCACATATGGCAGTTAGTAAATTTTTATGTGACATGCAATGATAGCATATACAGTCATATTTTTAAATTCAAATATTGAACATAGAAAATTGCTTCCTAGCTGTAGGAGCAATGTATCAAAATTTAGGTTGTCCAATTTTCTGAATTGGTTTTGCAGTCTGATGGGAAAAAAGAATAGAGAGCTTCTTGTGCATGTTAGTAATGTGTGTATTACGTTTTTAGTGCTAATCTTTTAGTTTTCATCGATGATGTTTGCTGCATATAACACAACCATGCCATCCCCGCTCAAGAGTCGCTTCATGTGGCTCTACAATGTCTTGGTGATAGACTGAGGTTTAAATGACGGCATTCATTTATGGCAGTATATATAATCAAATATTGCTTAGTTTTCCACAATTAGCTAATTTTTTGATCTGTAACATGGTTGACTGACATGAATTTATTGATTGGCAATGCAGTTGAGGAACTTGGTTTGGGCTACGTCAAAGCATGATGTTTACCTTATGTCACATTTTTCTGTCATTCATTGGTCTTCCTTAACTTCTAACACGACTGAGGTTCTCAATGTTTCTGGACATGTGGCTCCATGTGAGGTGAGTTCTCTCTTTCTCTCTCTCTCTCAAAACTATCCTTTTTCTTGAATTATGGTCTTTTGTGAAGCTAATCAACGTGTTTGTTCAAAATAGAAACATCCTGGAAGTCTGTTGGAAGGGTTTACGCAGACCCAAGTTAGCACGCTTGCTGTAAAAGATAGGTTGCTAGTTGCTGGAGGATTTCAAGGAGAACTTATTTGCAAGGTAAGTTGGTTGACTTTCTTCATGTGGTGTTTACTGAAAGGGAATAGTAAGCATTGGTACAACTGTTACTTCCCCCTTTTGACTTCAGACAGTTCCTTGGTCTACTTATGATAGCACTTGAAGTACGAAAAGTTGTTGCTTTTCAACTTTACCTTTAGTTTGAGGAGTCTAATAAACTTTTGTTTATTTATTCTATAAATAAGAGCCTGCTCGACTTCCTACTTAAAACTTACCTTCTCAGGGGTCTGCCGTATGATTTTTTCTGTGAAGTCACTCTGTGCTTCTGGCAGTCAAGGGAACATTGTCAAATCAGAATGCTATAGGGGGAAAATATTGAGATTGATGTTGTTACTTTGATTTATGTGCAAATCTGAACATAAGGTTGGCAAATTCTTCCTTTTCGATTGCAGTATTTAGATAGACCGGGAATTTGCTTCTGCACCAGGACAACTTACGATGATAATGCAATTACTAATGCCATTGAGATCTATACCACTCCGAGGTATTTGCTTTTGTCCTTGTGCTGGTTGTGAGGTATTTGCTTTTGTCATTGTGCTGGTTGTGAAGTGTTTGCTTTTGTTCTTCTGCTGGTTGTCACCCCATCCCCAGCGGTGCAGTTCATTTTGCAGCTTCAAATAATGACTGTGGGGTTAGAATCTTTGATATGGAAAAATTTCAACTTACTAAGCATTTCCGATTTCCTTGGCCAGTGAATGTAAGTCTCTCTCTCTCTCAATATACTGGTATACCTATGGTAAAAAAAAATCATATTTTTTGTTTTGTTATTGCTGTAGCATGTGATTTGAATGATATATGATTCTATTATGGTCATATGAGCTACAAATTTGCCATTTTGTGGCTTTCCTTTTGTTTTGTTTCCCCTCCACCCCTAAGATGGCTTCTTCTTCTTTTTTCTTTTTTTTTTTTGCTGGAGGTGATGACGCAAAAGCAGAATTTTGCCATTAAGCAACCATTTATTTTTAGGTTTATCTGAAGTTTTTGGATGTGTAAAGGCTTTTCCTGGTGCTAAGGCTTTTTCTGCACAACTTCAACGATGAGCGGTAACTTGGATTTTGCATACCTAATTTTCTGTTTTGGTTTTGCAGCATACTTCCCTGAGTCCTGATGGTAAGCTTCTTATAATAGTGGGAGATAACCCAGATGGGATATTGGTGGATTCCAGGACTGGAAAGGTAATTTGTATTTAGTACTCTCTGTAAACTTTGTGACCAAATTTTCAGCAGGTGATGAAGCCTGAATAGTTGTTCTAATTGCAGTGTTGATATTACAGATGGTCACTACTTTGGTTGGTCACTTGGATTTCTCATTTGCATCAGCGTGGCACCCTGATGGCCTCAGTTTTGCTACCGGGAACCAGGACAAAACCTGCCGAATTTGGGATATCCGAAACACATCAAAGTCAGTTGCTGCTTTGAAGGGTAATCTTGGGGCCATCCGGTCAATTCGCTACACATCTGATGGCCGGTTCTTGGCAACAGCAGAGCCTGCTGATTTCGTTCACGTCTATGATACTAAAAGTGGGTATGAGAAGGAGCAGGAGATTGATTTCTTTGGTGAAATATCTGGCATGTCTTTCAGTCCCGACACAGAATCGCTCTTCATTGGTGTGTGGGATCGTACATATGGTAGCCTCCTTGAGTTTGGCCGACGAAGGAACTACACATTCCTTGACTCAATCATGTGAGTGTGAGTGTGCACTGCAAATAAATGTGCAAGTGAGCTTGTTTCCAGCAGTGGAAGTGGGGTTTCGGTGTAAATGTCGTCGTGTTGTGCAATTTAGGTTTATTACTGTTCTTTTAATAGCGAGGTGCGCTGTTTGAAGTGAGCATAAGAAGATATATAGGATGAGGGACGGATGTACAGAAGATGGCTAGGAATTGTTTGGCATGCCAACAGAAAAAACTAGAACTGGGGATTCTCAAGGGGTACTACCAGTAAGACTTGGTGAATTCATGTCGTTCTTTTATCTATGTGGTATCTGGGAACCCTAATTTCTTATTCAATGAGTTTCTTTGGTTTTTGTTTTTCTGCACTGTGTGAACAATTGATATAATTGAGCTCAATTGAGCAAGGGGAAGTCCTATTGTCCCATGGTGTCCATAAAGTTCTTTCCAGGTTCTGCTTGTTAGTGAATTTATTTTTGGACCATCCCTTCTTTCCCCTCTTGGAATGAGGAAACACCATGACTTTGCTTGGTTACATTTTTTTCAAAAACAGAAAAATTTACTTTCTGTTTTTCGTATTTTTTTGTTTTTATTGATTTTTTTTAATATTTTAAATAATTTTTTTATTTTTATTTTTTAGACATACCTAATACAAATATACTTAAAAAGTAAAAAATTTGTGATTTTTTTTTTATTTAAAATTCACTAAATACCAAAAATACAAAAAAAAAATTATGAGAATTTAATATATTTTTTGTATTTATTAATTTTTTTAAATATTTTTTTACAAATTTTTTCATTTTTAAATACATCTAAGTAAGGTGTATCTAAAAAAGTAAAAGAAAATATTTAAAATTTTAAAATATTCACTAAAAATAACAAAACACGAAAATTAGAAAATTCAATTTTCAAAAAATTTAATGTAAAAATCTCAAATCAAAAATACTGATTGTTTTTGTTTTTCAAAGAATTTTTTTTTTTAGACCATCCCTTCTTCCTTCCCCTCCATCTTGCAATGGTGAAACACCATTCTTTATGGCTTTTGTTAACATATGTCCATAGGTCATATGTTAAGGTTAGTGATGACAATTTGAACTTGATCTCTCGACTCTGATTAGAATGATTTTTTCTTGAAAAATATCCTTGATGAGCCTAAGATGGTATTCGAAAATGAATCCCTAACAATTTTCGAGCCGGGGACGGTGATACATTTTCGTCCACCCGTCCCCATCCTCGGCCCTGTACCCCCGAACTGAAATTCATATATATATATATATATATCTATTTACCACCAGACAATAAATAGAAAGCAAAATAGGGAGAAAGAGTGCGGTAGGTGTGGAGAAAGATAGTGGAGGTAGTAGTGGGTTAGGTGAAGTGGAGTGTGTGGTGAAGTGGAGGTAGGTGAAGTGGAGTGTGTAGTGGAGTAGGTGAAGGTAAAGATGGGAAATTCTAACAATATATATATCTATTTACCACCAGACAATAAAATAGAAAGCAAAATAGGGAGAAAGAGTGCAAAGAGAAAGTAGAGAGAGCGCAAAGAGAGTAGAGAGCAAATAGAGAGCGTGCACTGAATCAGCGAGAACATCTTTGCCGAATCAGAGAGAACATTGTCGCCTCCTCTTTCGCGCCACAGCTACTGCCGTGATGCCAAAGTCGTCGAACCTCCATACTCCGGCGTCAATTCCTTTCGCCACGGTTGATCTGAGCAAATCACTCTCTCTCTTTCTCTGTGATGTTGTTGTTGATGTTATTTGATGATGATATTGTTGTTGAATCATTGTTGTTGTTGTTGCTGTTTGGTTTTTTTTTTTTTTTTGGTCCGAGGAATTTTCGGGATCAGGAAAACCCGATCCCCGTTAGAGGGTTGGGACGGGGACATGGACGGTGATAGGCTTCCCGTCAGGGATTGGGTCTGGGGACAGGAAAATTTTTACCATCAGGGATCAGGGACAGGGAGTGTGATCCCTATCCCTGCCTCGGCCTGTTGCCATCTCTAGTTAAGATAACATTAAATGAATATATTTATATTAATTTGTATAGAAAAAAGTACAATTTAAAAATTGTCTTAATTATATATTTTTTTTAATTTATAATGAGACCAAAATACCCTTTTTGCTTTGCACACTTCTCCTCCCTTATTTTTGATTGAGTTTTTTAATATGTTTTTCAAAAAAATATTAAAATTTAGTTTGGTGAAAAAAAAAATTAAAAAAAATCAAACACTTAATTTCATATGATTTTTTTAAACATAAAATATTATTTAAAAATTCAAATATATATTTATATTTAGTTTTGTCAAACTAATTTATAATTTTTTTAAAAAATAAATTCAAAATATAAATTCAAAAATTCAATAAAATATTATAAAAATATTTTGTAACTAAAGTTTTTCCAACATATCTTCATAAATGTTGGTCAAGTTCTCACCGTATTAGAACCATTTAAAAAAATAAAAATAAAAAACAAAAATATATAAGATAGTTTTTATTTAATTTCAGGATAGATTTTTTTTTAATATAATTATTTTAATTACCCTATGAAGTAGTAGTTAAAGAATTTTTTGTCTTACAAAAATAAGGGTACTTATGTCTACTTATATTTCTTTGGACCCCTAATATATTTTCGACTTTATCCATTTTCCTTACCTTTTCTCTTTCTTACTCTGGCAAACCTTTATTTCCCACTTCGGTTACCCTTTTCTCCATTATCACAACACTGTCGTCCTGCTATCATCGCAGCACTCTCTCATCTTCCTTCTCTTCTTCATCTTCCCCTAAAACCTTAACTCTAGATCTAAATCCACCACCATCATCGCCCACCACCACCATCGGCCATATCTTATTTTTCCTCTTTCTCTTCTCCCGAAACCCTAACGCCTACCAATGCTATTTCATTTTTTTTTTCATTTTCTTTTATGTTTCCTCTTTACGCATACTGAAGCTCCAAAACGAAAACTAGAGAAGGAGAAAGGGAAGACGAATGTAGGACTAGATGAACGAAGGACTAACATATAGTGATTCCAATTTTGACTCGTCTCTTGGGGTAGTTCGGACGCGGGTTGGTGTTGTTTCGAATAGTGATTCATATCTTGTTTCTCTTGTCTCTCATTTATTTGGTTATTGGGTTGTGGTTGTGTATTTGAAATAGGTTGGTTGCTTGTTTTTCCAAACCTGTGCTGTCCAAAATTTTGGTCTTTCGCTCGAGCGGGCCTTCTTGCGCTCGAGCAGGATGTGCAAACTCTCAATACTTTGCACGTCTGCAAAAGTACTAGAGGGATGGTTTTCACGCTCGAGCGTCGTTTCCTAAGCTCAAGCAGGTGAATGCTCGAGCGGCCTACCTTGTGCTTGAACGGGTTATCTGTTGTCTACATAAGTACTAGATGTTGTATTCTGCGCTCGAGTGGGTTCTTCTTGCGCTCGAGTGGAATCAAACTTTGTGTCTGATGCTCGAGCGTCAATTTCTTCGCTCAAGCGGACTGTGCGTATATCAGATTGCGAAAACATCATTTTATATCACTTTATCAGATCCATTCTTCAAAAAAGCCCCAAAGTGAGACCCTCTCTCTCTAAAACTTACATTCTCTCTAGATTTCCACCTAGATTTAGTGATCTATCTACCCTATTTCCTTTGATAAAAAGGTAGAACTTCTCAAGATCTTCATTTTGAACCGATTGAAGTTGGATTTCGACATTTTTGAAGTTCCATCCTTGCTTGGCTTATTTTCTCTCTTTGAGGTAGGGATTTTCTACATTTTGTTATAGGCTTTAACTTAGTTATTTGTGATTGTGTAACAATGGTGGCATTCGGGAGTAATTTGGGCAAGCCTAAGGTTTGAGTGAGATGTAAAATAGGGGTTTTTGGTGGAAATGAAATAAATGAAGTTAGGGTTTGAAAATGAAGTTTTGTTGTGTCAAAATAGATGATTTTGGTACTTGGATTGATGTTTTGAAAATGGAGATTTTTGTCCTAAAATCACTATCATATCTATTTTGTATAAATAGTTGGAATTGGTGTTGTAAATGTAAAATTAAGCGAGTATTGGAATGGATGGTGGAATTGAATATGAAATGCTTCATAGCCTTGGAAATTTTGATTGAATTATCTGTCTTGAGATTGTCTATCTGTTTAGAAATATCTGTATTGGGCTATCGGTGGAGGATAACTTTAATTGTTGTAGAAATTGCTTGTGGATTAGGTAAATTGAAACTAGTCTATGGTTGATTATCACTGAATATGATCATGTTGCGAATACATTGTATATATATGATTATTTGGGAGAAAAAATGGGATGTACTCCATGTGTGATTATGAGTTTATATACATTGCATATGTATGATTGTTTAGGAGGAGAAAAAGGATGGACTCCATTATAATTAAGTTGACCGGAGTATCCTGGGTGAAAGTCCCGAAATTTATACATGGGTGTCGATCCAACAAACGAAATATCCGTAAAATGGCAAGTTGAAATTATACATGGGTATCGATCCCGTAAACGAAATATTCGTAAAATGATAATTGGGACTGTTTGTATATTGAATGTGAAATTGTTAAACCATTGAGTTGTAGTCTCATTTGGACTGTTGAAAAGTAATGAAGTTGGCTCATGTAATGTATAAAAGGGAAATAAAATGGAATATGGACTTGATATGTATTATGACTATTGTAGACGTCCCCGAACGTCCCGAGAGGGAATCCCGTTCTGTTCATTGGGCTCACCACAGTTCAGGACTCAATGTCACGGTTCTGAATCTAGTCTCGCAAAGTGCAATGCAAGACCGATAAATCACCAAAGAGTCCAAATCCGACAAATCGTTTTGGAAAACTGATTTTTAGAAAGAAGTGTCAAACATGGACTGCTTTGCCAGATACAGAGTCTCCACCTAAATATTTTTTATGGGGAAATTTAGGAAACTCTTACTCGTTTGCCTAAGGCTACGTGTCCGTCATCGCCAAAGTTGCCTTGGCTCGGGAACTTGGGTACGATTGGGGAAGGTCAGTTATGAGCATCCCCGCTCGTCCGATCAAAGATCGGCCTCTACTAACCATGATATCTAGTTTTAAAAACATTATGCATTCTTAATCCGATTAATTAGCTAATCTTACTATGTGATGCGCACAACACAAAAATATAGACTAGATTGCCCAATTTGGAACAAAGCATCACATATCCGTTGTTTGGAAATGATTTGAGGTTTGCTACTCGCAAGTAGGCTAAAATACGGATTTCAATGAATTATTCCAATTCAAACAATCCAACCATCACCCACAGGTATTCAGGCAGTAAATCAACTAAGTGGTTAGCCTCATGGCAAGCATGCTTTCATGTTAACATTCACACTCATGCGAGATGCTAAAGTATAAACACTCACCTAGTACTCCAAGCCAAAACAAGGAACATGTTAGTGATCAAATGTATGAT